TCCTCCTCCTCCTCCTTCTCCTCCTCCTCGTCCTGCGACTTCAGGGTGATCTGTGCCCTCACTGGGCTAGTGGGACGCGTGTAATTTCTGAGCGATTCAAGGCTGGGCTCAATCACTGTGAGCGCTACCAGACCGTACCACACCCAAAGCGACTGTTGCGTATGAGCTGAATGACTGCCGTGTCTTTCAGACAAAATGCAGATTGGAAGATGCACATTCGTAATGATCCGCATGCACAATTGGAATGCGGCAGTGCCAACCTGCTGTGCCCGTGCTGCAACGACTCGTGCGTGTTATCATGGGGTGGCTAGTCTAAAATCCGCGACCTTGCCAACCATAGCGCGTACGGACTGCCGCATCTAGGAGGCAAACGAACCTACCTCGCTTTTGACCACCCTCGCTTCCAAAATATACCAAACGATACCAGGCTACGGCCCGCACCAGTCAGGTCGCTTGACAAGGAGGCGCGTGGTATGACTTGGTTTTGTCTTGAAGCGAAAGCGGGGTAGGTAATTCACGCTCTGAGCATCTGCCCATCCTGACCCGTCTTGGCTTGGGGCATGACCCTCTGCAGAGACGGGGCAAGGAGTGACACCGCAGGTCGACACCACGACGCACGAGCTGGCCACTGCGGGGCTGCGTCACCATGAAGCCCAAGCTGCGTCTCGCGCAGGCACGCGTGCCACAGTCTCGCAACAGCCTGGAGCATGGGCGCCGGCGAGGGTGGAAGCCCGCCGCAACGACGGAGCATCTTGCTGGTCGCCAACACAAGGTGGGAGACCAGCAGGTACCCATACCCCTACTCCACGGACCTCTCCTGGGGTGCGTTCAGACCAGAATTTCGAGGCGAATCCAGTGGTGACGACGAGGGCCTCCCAGTAGGCCCAAGGAGCGGAAACGAGGGGAGGGTAGCGGTATGGGTACGCTTTCCTCCTCTGAGCAATTGCAGGGACCCCTCAAGGTCCGAAACGATGCAATGAAACTGACCCTTCTGATCGCACTTGTGGCACTGGGGCACGAGGATCGTCCCATGCTGGTGGAGGCTCGCGCGCGTGCGGACCCGTCTCTGCTGGCCATGACGTCCTTGCGAGCGAGGGCCAGACGGTACTGCCGTGCGGCGGTCGCGCGTCGATGGGACAGCTTCTGAGCAACAGCAGATCTCGAAATTCCGCGAGGACTTCCCGCCCCGAGAACCCCGACCAATCGCACGACCGAACCAGTGGACACTCCATTATCAAGTGTTGACAGTACTTGCAACTGCCCGTGTTTCACACCACCATACCGCCGTGCGCGGTGGTTCGAAGTACGAATGATCTTCCCCGTTCCGTCGATCGGATTCTCATCTTACTTACTCTCCGCCTCTCTTGTTCCTTCTCTGGCCTCCTCTCTCCTCCTGCTCCCCCTCCTCCCCTCCCCCTCCTCCCCTCCCCCTCCCTTCTCCTCCTCCCGCCGCTGTCGCCGCAGTATTCGTCGTCGTCGTCGTCGTCCTGTGTCGTCCATCGTCGTCGTCGTCGCCGCCGCCGTCGCGGCCGTGGCGCGGTCGTCGCTGCGATCGCCGTTGTCTCGCGGCCGCCGTCGCCGCCACAGGGGCCGGTGGCCAGTCGTCGTGCTCGCTGCCGCTGGCCCGAGGAGGGCTTCGGAGGGGGCGGCGCGCGCCTGCTCGGAGGGGGAGCCCCACCTGGCGGAAGGAGGGGAGCCGGGGGGGGGTGGCGGGGGAGGGGCCGGGGAGAGGGGGGGGGGGTGGGAGAGGGGGGAGGGCGGGAGGGAGAGGGGTGGGGGGGAGAGGGGTCGGGAGGAGGGGGGAGGGGGGCGCGGAGGGGCGGTGGGGAGCGGGAGGAGGGGGGGAGGGAGGGGAGGAGGAGAAGCGGAGGAGGGAGAAGGGAGGAGGGAAGGGTGGGAGCTGAGGGAAGCATGGAGGGACGGGGGAGTGGGGAGGAGGAGAGGCGGACAAGAGGCGCGGAACGAGGAGAAGGCAAGGCGAAATAGAACCACCTAATTATCTGGATGGAGTGCTTGCCGGGGGGCGGGGGCGGGGGCAGGACATTCGGCTACGCACGCACACGGCTCCTTCTGCTGCCTCCCCCCCGCCCCCTCCCCCCCCCCGCCCTGGCGCCTCCACCGGCCAAGGCCAGGAGGATGGGGGACGGGGATGCGGAGCGGGGAGGAGGAGGAGGAGGAGGAGGAGGAGGAGGAAGGAGGAGGAGGAGGAAGGAGGAGGAGGAGGAGGAGGGGGAGGAGGAGGAGAAGGAGGAGGAGGAGGAGGAGGGGGACAGGAGGATGGGGGGGACAGGCGAGGGAGCGAGGATGCGGGGCGGGGGGCGGCCGGCGAGAGCAGGAGCGCGTCGGTGGACGGCCTCGGTGCTGGCCTGCGCGCGCCGCCGGCGCACGAGTCACGGCCCCCAGCCTGTGAAGGAGGGCCGCCCTCTCGCCCTCCCCCCCCTCTGAGGGGGAGGGGGAGAAGCAGAAGAAGAAAAAGAAGAAGTATCATCATAATAAGAAGAAGAATAATAAGAGTAATAATAGTAATAATAATAATAATAAAAACAATAATAATAATACTAATAATAAGAAGAACGCTTACCCGTCAGTCGGAAGGACTGGGTAGAAGCATGAAGAGGCGCTGGAAGAGGATTGGGTTCCCGCCCGCCCCCCACACACACACACACACACACACACACTTTCAACGACCGGCGTGTAGGGGCAGGGGCAGGGAGGGAGCAGGGGAGGGAGCACGAGTGACCGAGGGCGAGGGGGGGCGGGAAGGCAGGGAGCGGACGAACGCCTCGCAAGAGTCTAATTCAGCCCGCCAGCCCTCTGGGAGTACAGTGGAGGCCAGTCCACAGGAAACCTCCCACAAGAAACCCAGCCCTGAGACCCCAGGACGTCCATCGATGTTTGGTGTGGGAGCGTCGCGCTTTCCATAGCAAAACCATGGAAACCCAAGAGACATCCAGGGCACCCTAATGCAGGATGACGGTTAAACAAATAGGGGGAACGATCCAACGCATAGTTTGTTTTGATTTCTATATGATTTTCCAACGAGAGGAGGACGACTCAACACATATGTATATTACACGTCGGCTTCGAATATTGTGTCGAATACTCATTTCACGTCGTCAAAGTTTAGAGTACATAATCATTCGACGTCGACTTAAAATTTTACGTCAAATACCAATTCTAGGTCGGCTTCAAACTTTTACGTCTAATACTCGTTCCACGTCGGCTTCAGACATTATGTCTAATGCTCATTTGACGTCGGATTCAAATGTTACGTCAAATGCACAATCCACGTCGACGGCTGTCCGGCCGCGCGCCCGAGGACGGCAAGGGGGAACGATTAAAAAAAGTGTCCCGGCCCGCGGCCGGTTTTTTCTAACCATCCTCCAGGGCGCCGCCGACGCAACACGACCCCTGGTCATATTATCATTTATCGTCATCCAACATTAGAGGCAAGCAGGGCGTTTCTTGGCATGGGCCTCCACTGCAGTGGCTCTGGGGTCTCCCTTCTGCCTTAAGGGCCTGCCAGGTGTAAGACGAAGGCAGAATCGAGACAGCATCGGACGGATACGAGTTGGAAGTCTCTGAGAGGCGGCGGGTTTGGAGAATGTATCCTTGCCATCGCTCGGACGTCCACTCCCTGTGTTTTTTTCGGTTCCGTGCGTGATTTTTTCGCCAAATGATTGAGGGTACTCCTCGATGGTCCTCGCCGAAGGAAAAAAAAACACGTCCGAACGATGCCAAGTATCGTGCGCCGCGATCGTTCTGGAGCGTTCCGGAACGCTCTGAGAGCGTCCCAGAATGCTCTGGACCGATTCATCTCGATTCACGAGGCCTGCCTGCAGGAGTCAGGCTTGTGAGGTGAGCTGCGGCCCCAAGGTGGCGCGTGCTCCTGTCCCCAGCCGCACGGCTCTGCCGTGCGCGCGGCCCTCTCTTCCAGGGGGAGGAGGAGGAGGAGGAGGAGGAGGAGGAGGAGGAGGAGGAGGAGGAGGAGGAGGAGGAGGAGGAGGAGGAGCAGGAGGAGGAGGAGGAGGAGAAGGAGGAGGAGGAGGATCCCCGTCGGGGAGGGGGTTGGCCGCCCCTCGGGTCTGGCAGGCCCGCCTTCCCCCTGGCGAGGAGGCCCAGAGCGCCAGCCCTCCCTCCGGCGGGAGGCCCCAGCCACGTCGACGCCGCCGTGCCGGGCAGGCCGCCCGCAAGGACGAGACGCGCGAGCGACGCGCTCCGTCGGCCTCCAGGCCGTCTCGAGATGGGCGGCGCGGTGGCGCCTCGGCACCCTCCATTCTGGCACGTCCCGGTGCTTTCCAAAACCGGTGCCCCCCCGCGCCGGCGGATGTGGTTCTCTGGCTCCCAGCGGAGAGCAAGGGCCCACGATTCGCTGCCAGCACGCATGCGAGTGGGGTGGCAAGAGGAAGCGAGGCGGGAGGGGTGTGGAGAGCACACGTGCGCCCGCGGCAATCTGCTCGCACGCTGCGGTCACCGAGGGCTCTCGGTGTTCGGGTCAGGAGTCGGGGAGATGGACGGCGGGGAAGGGGCAGATGCGAGGTTAGAGGTAGATTGCTCTGAACATCCCTTGGAAGAAGGAAATCGGAGTATCCAGCTGCATCCCTTTCCGAATCCCACCGCCCACCTTGGGATAACCCCCACTCTAACCCCCCGAGAGAGGCGCACCTGCGAAGGATGGACCCCTCCCATGCCTCGGCCCTCCATGCTGTGCAACCTCTCGGGTAGCGCAACCCAACTGACAACTTCAACGACTGTGGCCAGCTCCACAAACTTCAAAACCTGGCTTTGGTGACGAATCCATCAGAACTGTGTCGGAATCGGAACAGAAACGGCAGGAAACAAATCGGATCGATGACAAAACCAATTCGGCTCCCGCGAGGAAAACGTGACCTATCGATCTGGAACGATCCTTGATCTGGAGGCCGCGCGAAACAGGACTCAGACGACAACGGGAGCCCGGGTGCAGACGAGACCAACAAAAATGATGGAGGGGATCGGTCGAGCTCTCGCCACCACTGCAGCATGCCGAAGATGCCCATCAACCCACCCAGCTTGCACATCATCCAATCGCGGGCCTCGCTGGGAACGCGAGGGGCATGGGGATGCGAGCGGCGGCGAGCAGGGAGGAGGTCCAAAATCAGCTGCGATGGTTGGGACTATGCCGCTACTCCCTGGACCTCCCCAGGGGTGCGCTCTGAGCAGAACTTCGAGGCAACTCCAGCCGTGGCGACGAAGGAAGGGCAGCGGTAGCGGCATCTGCTCCTCCTCTGAACCGTACTCCTCTTCCTCCCTTCGGCAAGATCACTCAGCATCGAGCCGGGAAATTCGGGTCGAATCGGAATACGGCGTCGACATCGAATCGGACCGGCTGCGCCAGGACGCACAACAGCGCCAAAACAGCATCGGGCCGCACCGGACCTCTAGGAAAGCGAAGCCGAATCGGAACAAGCTCGCCGCCATCGGTATCGAATCGGACCGACCCAGATCGAAGTGGGTCCTGGCTGCTGCTGCTGCTGCTGCTGCCTCCCTGCTGCTATCCGCTGGCGCTGCCGCCGCCGCCGCTCTCGCCCTCTTCGTCCCCCGCCTGCTCCAAAGGAGCTGGGGCGGACCATCTGCAAGCATCGCGCTACCGTCAAGAACGCTGAGTACGGCAGGTTTGCGCGGCGTCAGTGCGCGCAAAGGCTTTTGACACCGCGTCGATCGTTCAACCTTGAATCGATCGCGGCCCTGATCTCTCAAGGGTTGGATTCCGTCGTGTCCAGTGGCGTCACCGTGTCCCTTAGTGCTTCTGCGTCGCAGAATTCAACCTTGAACGCCTTCGCCGGCGCGCCATCGCCTCATAAACCTACTGTACCCCAATGAGCACAGTGGAAGACAGCAGTGAGCATCGAACCTCTCTTGAAACTCGAAGTAGACCTGACAGCAACTTGTTGATTGTAAACCCACCAGCCCTCTGGGCGTAGGTGGTTTAAACAACTCTTGCCTTCACTTTTTCTAGAACCCATCCATCTCTTGCTCGGGAGAAGGGCTTATCACTGCTCCACCCGACTGTGGGCCAACCCTGGACATGCCTCCCCCCACCCCACCATTCCTATCAAAAACAATACAGAATGCACTCTGCCTCCAAATCTCGAGCATGCGCGGGAGCCCCGCGGTGCCGACATGCGGTTTCTTGCGCACAAGTTGTGCGCAAGCCAACCGTCCCTGTCAAAAAACAATACAGACTGCTCTTTGCCTCCAACTCCGGAGTATGCACGGGCGCGCCGCGACCACTCGGCGGGCGCCACGCGACCACTCTGCGTTGGTTTTTGACAGGGGTGGCGGAGGTGCCGGCATATTGCTTGATGCGCGCAGGCCACCATCCCTGTCAACAAGAACAATACAGAATCCACCCAGTGACGGCTGTGCAATGGCGCACCTCGCACGCACTGCGCGCACCTGGCGCACCTGGCGCGGCTAAAGCACCTGGCGCACCTGGCGCACCGAGCACGTGGCGCACCTGGCGCGGCTAAAGCACCTGGCGCACTCGGCGCTCGTGGAGCACGTGCTGCACTTGCCGCGCCTTGCACGCTTAGGCCTCCAAGGTGCCTGGTGCAACTGAACCCGTGGCGCACATGGCATGCGTGGCGCTCCTCGGCGATGTGCTGAGACTCGGGTAGTGCTACTTATGTGTTGGGGTGAGCGAGACGGCTTGCGGTCTTGGGGGGGCCTCGATCCCTACCCCTACGCCCTCCCCTGGGTCTGGACGGGGCGCCACGCGAGGTGTCAGAGTGTTTTTCGGTCCAAGATGGCTCCAAGATGGCATCTGAGAGCCCAAGATGGCATCCAAAATGGCCCAGGATGCTTCAAGATGGGTCAAGAGAGCCTCCGACATGCCTCCAAGAGGCCTTCAGACGGCCTGAAAACAGCAAGTGCTTTTCGAGTCCTCCAAGGACCTCCCCAAGAAGCCAAAATGGCTCCAACACCTAAGAAAATCAATGTTCTTTTCTGCGCTCTCGCCTTTTTGCCTTCAATGGGTCTAGGAAGCTTCCAGATGGCCCCAAGATGGCCCAGGAGAGCCCAGAGAGAGGCCCAAGAGGGCCCCAAGATGGCCCCAAATACGCCCAGGAGGAGCTCCAGAAGGCTCCAAATAGAATTTGTTTAACCTCTGAGGGGGCCAGCTTGAATCCGCTCCCCCCCTCCCCTTCGATACATTGAGGAATGACACCACCCCTATCCTGGGTTACAAGTGCGTGGTCAGTAAACCTCCTGGAGCTCCCACAGGCAAGGGAGCCGCCAGGACGCCGCGCGGCACGCGCGATACGAAGGGTTTACCCTGTCAGCTCACAGGAGGTTCAGCGCACAGCGCCTCGTAAATCAGGGTAGGGGCGTTTTTGTACGCCCTTGGACACATTGGCCGCCCCGCCCCGAGGGCTCCAAGACGACCCCGGAGCGATATCTGTGCTCTGTCCCGCATGGGTTTTGCAAACCAAGTTGCGGGTGGGTGGGTGGGATCATCGCGCGAGCAGTGGAGTTGACAACTTCAAGTTCGGCAGGTGAATTCTCCTTCCTGAAAAGAGAATGGACTCTACCCGCCCCCCCGCCCCCTTGCAGAGACCCCGCGGAGCCCGTGCAGAGCCCCTGCGCAGAGGGGGAGCCCCTCTTCTGCTGGTCACGGAGCCTGCCGCCCGACGGTTCCTAAAGAGGGGGGGAGCGAGATCCCACCGGCCCCCTGGGCGTAGGTGGTTCCACACGTTTTGTCCTCGTTCTTCCATGGCCCCTCCTCCTCCTGCTCGGGGGAGGGGTTTTGGAAGGGGGGAAGGGGGGCGCGACCCAGTTGAGCGTCCAAGATGGCCCAGGGTTTACCCCTCCCCCTCCCCCTCCCCCCTCCCCCGGGCCTGGAAGGGGGGGAGGGGGGCGCGACCCAGTGGAGCGTCCAAGATGGCCCAGGCTCCAAGAGGGCCTCCGAGAGCCCAAGATAAACACCTCGGAAAAACCAACGTTCCCCAATCAGGCTTGCCTGAAGGGTGCTCCATGGTGAGAGGTTGGTGCCTACTATTGATACTTTGCACGTTGCTCGGAGGTTCCTGGGTTCCCCGAGTGGGTTCCCCGCCCCTGGTGCCTCCTATTGTTACTGTGCCCGTTTCTCGGAGGTTCCCCAGGTTCCCCAGGTTCCCCCGGTTCCCCGCCCCCGGTGCCTCATGCCACGCAATGCCAAGCAACGCCAACCAATGGCGAGCAATGCGAAGCAATGGCCAGCAATGGCAAGCAGTGGCAAGCAGTGGCAAGCAGTGGCAAGCAATGGCAAGCAATGGCTAGCAATGGCAAGCAATGAAACGCAATGGCAGGCAGTGGCAAGCAGTGGCAAGCAATGGCAAGCCTTGGCAAGAAATGGCAAGCAATGGCAAGCAATAGCAAGCAATGACAAGCAATGGCAAGCAATGGCAAGCAATAGCAAGCAATGGCTAGCAATGGGACGCAATGGCAAGCAATTGCTAGCAATGGCAAGTAATAGCAAGCAATGGCAAGCAATGGCAAGCAGTGGCAAGCAGTGGCAAGCAATGGCAAGCAATGACATGCAATAGCAAGCAATGACAAGCATTGGCAAGCAATAGCAAGCAATGGCTAGCAATGGCAAGCAATAGCAAGCACTGGCAAGCAATGGCAAGCAATAGCAAGCAATGGCTAGCAATGGCAAGCAGTAGCAAGCAATGGCATGCAATTGCAAGCAATGACAAGCAAGCACTTGCAAGCAATGGCAAGCAATAGCAAGCAATGGCAAGTAATGGCAAACACTGCGAAGCAATGGCAAGCACTGGCAAACAATGGCACGCAATGGCAAGTTATACAAAGTAACGCCAAGCTAGCTAATTAATGCCAAACACTGCGCCCATGCAATAGGAAACGTTCCCCTAATTGGGGTCGCGCCGGGTGTATGGTTTGCCTTCTCCTGTTTCCGCTTCCGATGGGCTTTTGAGGCCTCAAGATGGCCCCACGACGGCCCATGAGAGCCCCAAAAAGGCCCCAAGAGCGCCATGAGCGGCCGAAGAGTTCCGCCTAACGCCATATTGAGTCTCCGAGGGAGAGGCCTGAATTGAGGACCCCCCTCTTTTTGAGCCATGGGGCCCAAGAGACCTCCTAGACCCCTCCAATGAGCCCCAAAATGGCCCCAATACCTCCAACATGAGTTCCAAGAGGGCTCCAATAGTGCCCCAAGAGGCCCCACGGGGACCCCAAGAGAGCCCCTAAGCCTTAGTCGTCCTTCAAGAACCTCTCACAGCAACATCTATTCAAAGCCTGACTTCTGGCCCGGCCCCTCCTTGTCATCGTCCTTTCCTTCCCTCCTTCTTTCCTGCCTCCTCCCTCGTCCTCCTCCTCATCTTCCTCGTGCCGCATCCGCCGTCGTCCTCCTTCTCTTCTTGCCCTTCCTATTCATCCTTCCTCTTCCTCCTACTCCCCCTCCTCGTCCTCCTCCTCCTCCTCCTCCTCCTCCTCCGTCTCTCTTTTTCCTCCTTCTCCTTTTCCTCGCCCTACCCCCAAGATGGTCCCAGGAGGTCGAGCATGGCTCAAGATAGCCTCCGACAGACCTCCAAGAGGCCCCAAGACAGCCTCAAGATGGTCTAAGATAGCTGAGCATCGCTCAGGATAGCCTCCGACAGCCTCTAGCCGAGCATGGCTCAAGGTAGCCTCCAAGAGGCCTCAAGAAAATCACCGTTCGTGTCTGGATGGGCTGGTGTGGATACGCAAAACAAGCGTCAATAAGTGCAATCATCGTGCTACCATCGGGAACGCTGGACAAGGAGCGGAGGGGCTTTTCTGGCCATGACGCCCCTCGGCTAGGAATGGGTTCCCTGGCCTAGATCGAAGGAACGGCCCAGGCTAGGGTCCCATTGGAGCCCCAACTAGTCCTTATCATCATACCTATCAGTGTGGCCTCGCACGGCACTAGTTCTCGTGTCGTCGTGCCGTAGAGCGTGCACAGGAACGTGTCTTGGAGTTCCTTGCTGGAGGGCATGCTAGAGTTTGCCATGGAGTGTCTGGGGGATGCCTTGGGAGTGCGTGCTACAGTGTGTGCTGAAGGGTGCTTCTTGGCGGGCCTGCTGGAGCGTGCCGTGGAGAGTGTCTTAGAGATGCCTGCTGCAGAGCGTGCTAGAGCGTGCCCTGGATAATGTCGTGGCCCCGCCCCCCCCCGGCCTCTCTGGTGACCCCCGTCCCCCCCAAGGCTTCGCAAGTGCTGTGCAGCCCCTGGCCTCCGGCTCCTCTGGCACGGCCCCAGGCCTCCCTGGCCTCCCTCGCCCCCCCCCCCCCCCCAGGGCTTCAAGCTGCTTTCTGCTCGCGCCGTCGTGTCGCCGTGGCCTCCCCTGGCTCCCCCTGGCCTCCCTGGTGGGTCCCCCCGGCCCTGGCCTGCCTGGCCTCCCTGGCCTCCCCCGTCCCCAACCCCCAGGGCTTCGGACTGCTCTCTGTTCGCGTCGTCGGCCTCCCCTGGCTCACCTGGCCTCTCTGGTGGCTCCCCACTGCCCTGGCGTGTCGCCTCGCCCCACTGTGCTCTGGCGTGCATGGCCTCTCTGGCCTCACCTGGCCGCCCCAAGGCTTCGTAATGCTTTCTTGCCATCGCTCGGGCGTCCATTCCCCGTGCATGTTTTGGTTTCGTGCGCACCTGCTTTGCGACACTCCTCATATCATGAGATGGGGTTCGTGTCATTGTTTAGACGCGTCCGGACCTTCCTCTTCTTTCTCCCCTCCTCTCTCATATCACTCAGATACGCACACTCTGATCACTCGCACCCATCACGGGGCCCATCACAGACCCACTCTTCTTCACGGGGTCCATCACGGACTCAGTACCCCTCACGCAGACTCAGCCACATCACTTCTTCACTCAGACTCACTGAGACTCAGACGCACTCAGACCCACTCAGGGAATGAGCCCCAGACGCAGACTCAATCATACACATTCAGACTCCATCACTCCGACACCCTCTTCCTCGCTCAGACTGTTGTGGTGGCCCACTGCTCACCGCAATATTTAAGGCGTGGCACTTGAGCAACACAAAGAGGAGCCGCCAGGGGGTAGCTCACTCGCCCGCTCGCGCCCGGATTTGCCTGTGTCTGCCCCCAAGACGTTTCACTTCTGGTGGTCCCCTGCTCACAGCGATATAGCAGGCGTGGCGCTTGGGCACCCCAAGGGGAACCGCCAGGGGGGTAAGACACTCGCCTGTGCGCGCCCAGATTGTGGGGATGTCTCGGCCGGTTTTCCTGTCTGCCCCCAGATTCCCAGACTTTTCACTCTTGGTGGCCCACTGCTCACAGCGATATAGTATCACACGCGTAACACTTGGGCACCCCAAGGGGGAATCGCCAGGGGGTTGACTCTCGCCCGTTCGCGCTGAAATTGTGGGGATGCTTCTGGTAGGTTGCCTGCTTCTGCCCCCCAGACGTCTCACTTCTGGCGGTCCACTGCTCACCGCGATTAGCAGGCGCTGCATTTGAGCACCCCAAGGGGAACCGCCAGGGGTGGGGGCACTCCAGGACTCGCGCCCAGATTGTGGGGATGTCTCGGGCGCTTTGCCAGTCTCCCCCCCCCCAGACTTCTCTGTGGATTTGCGTGCTCCTCACTCACTCACTCACTCACCTCCTCGTCCTCCTGCTCCTCCTCCTTCTCCTCGCTCAGACTCACTTACTCTCATTCATCAGACTTCCTCACCAGCACTTCTTCCTCATCCAGACTCACTCATCACATTCGAATTCACCCACACACAAACTCACTCGTACTCAGACTCGCTAACACGTAAGTGCCGCGACATGGCGCGGCTGCGCGAATCTTCCTGGCCCCGTCAGGGGCCCAGGCCTCCGGGCCATCTGAGGCCGACCCCCGACTTGGCCCAGAAAAGCTACGAGCTCCCAAAGGGGGAGGGGAACGCACGAGTAAGGGCAAGGACGAAAAAGGAGTCAGCGCAGACCTGGGGGCAGGTAGAGCCAAAAGTTTAATCAAACATCCTGCATCCTCCCTCCTGGTCCTCTTTCCTCCTCCTCATCCTCTTTGTCCTCCTCCTTCTCCTCCTCCACGTCGACGACGTCGGGGTCGTCGTCTTCCTCCTTCTTCTCCTCCTTCCCTTCTCCATTCCTCTTGAAGCACCCCCGAGTCCGCTGGAGCTGCAGAGGGCCCCCGATGAATTCGCTCGAGAGGCCCTCATCCCTCCACCCCGCCCTTCCCTTCGCCTTCTCGCCCCTTTTCGCCCAACCCCTTCGCCCTTTCGCTGCCCCCCCTTCTCCTCCTCCTCCTCTTCTTCTGCTTCCTCCTCCTCCTCCTCGTCCTCGTCCTCGTCCTCGTCCTCCTCCTCCTCCTCCTCCTCCTCCTCCTCCTCCTCCTCCTCCGTCGTCCTCTTCGTCATTGGCGTCGTCCTCGCAGGCGCCTTGAACACGGAACATATCGCTGCCGCTCCCCAGGGCATCGGGAAGAAGGCGGCCCTCGCTGTCCGCTGCCCACGGGGGGCGCCGCGCGCCTGGGAGAGCGGACGAGCAGGAGTGGAGGGTCGGACGAGATGGGACGATAGCAGGGATAAAAACCCAACGAACCTGCAGTCACCCCGTGTAAGAAGAACGCACGGTAATGGATGCAAGGGCCTCGAAGGCCAGGTCGGCACTTTGCGAGCGGGGCGCGGTCAGCGAGAGCGGCCAAGGATGGGCCGAATGGACAGGATACAAGGGGGTAACCTTGAAACATCGCTCATTCTTACTATGCGGGTTGACTTTAATTCGCGTTGAACCACCGTCGCTTCCAAACGGGAAACGAACTATACCAAACTGCCCGTGGGGTGGCCCGCAGCGGTCAGGCTGCCTGGCGAGGAGGCGCGTGGTACGACTTGGTTTTGCCTGAAAGCGAACGTGGGGTAGGCGTTTCACACCCTGTGGAACAAAGAGGTTAACGAACCAACTCAACTCACGTAGCTGGTTTTCCTGGCGCCTCCCAGCGCCAGAGACGTAGTGTATCAGCGCCCGACAGCGGAGCCGAAACCAGCTGCACGCAACAAATTTCGCCCCCCCCCACCCCCCACCCACCCCCTCCCCCTGTCCCTATCCACCCTTTCGTCCGACCCGAGTGGTGGGGGGAAAGTGGGGGGGCGTTGGGAGCTACCGAGGTTGGCCGACCAACCTTTGTTGCTAGCAGCGAGCGCCAAGATCAATTGAGCTCAAGCTCTACCGTGGCAGACTTCGAATCAGCTGAGCGTGAGCTCTACTGTGACAGACTTGTTGGACGACGGCTGTGGGCAACCAGCCCGAGAAAACATTCTGACGTTTGCAGATCAATTAGCAAATTACCTCTTCAATGCACCTGTCGTCGGCGCCGTCCCCGTTGTCGTCGGCGTCGGCGTCGTCATCGTCGTCCGTCGTCTTTGCCTCCGTCACCGCCGCCGTCATCGTCGCCGTCGGCGTCGGCGGCGCCAGCGCCGTCGTCGTCGACGCCGTCGACAAAATCCACGGGGCCGAAACCAGCTGCGTCCAGCATCCCTCTTTCCCAACTGGGCTTCCCCCTTTCCCACTCTTGTTAGTCCATCCCGAGCCGACGTCGCCGCCGTCGTCGTCTGGTGCTGTCGTCGTCGCCAACCTGATTAACGTCCAAGAACTGTTCAAAATCAATACCCAATGCCGACAAGAACCCCCAACAACGGCCGAACAAAAGTCCAAAACGAACCCGTCGGCGCTGCTGCCGAAATCGTCGCCGCTGGCGTCGGCGTCGGGGTCGGCGCCGTCGAAGCCACCGCCGCCGTCGCCGCTGGCGTCGGCGTCGCCGTCTGAGGGCAAACGAGGAGGAGGAGGAGGAAAAGGAGGAGGAGGAGGAGGAGGAGGAGGAGGAGCAGCACGCAGTTGACCATTGGTCAGTCTAGAAAAGGGGGGTAGCCTGCCCTTCGATTAAGGGAGGCAGAAAAGGCAGGGAAGCTAAACTTCCCCTCTCGTGAATTTGGCAAGATAGGCCGACCCTGCCGACGTGGCCTTCTTGCATTCTTTGAAGAGCTTATGACCCGCTCTTGTAGCGTGTGAGCCGCAGGTCAGGCATATGTAAGTACCCTTGGCAGACACGACCATATCATGAGACGGGTCAACATACCTGGCACCGATGTACACATTCTGGAGAGACTTCGCTCCCTCATATCCTGTACGGGGTTTCGCAGGAACACACGGGGAGGCCAGAAACTCCTGGGACGGAATATTGCCGTGCGAGTTAACAGAAATGACCGAGCAGCAACTATTACAATAGAGCCTAGAGTCAGGACCTTCTCCTACAGGAATCATATTGTGCGCCGACTCCCTAAGCTGCTTAGCTAATTTGGGGCGAGGGTTGAAGGCTCGAGGAGGAGGAGGAGGAACGGCTGGTTTCGGCTTGGCTTTGGCTTTCTTACGAGCTCTAGGGGCCTGGGGATTGTCTCCAGAGGCCTCCGAAAATCTCGAGAGGAAAACTTCACAAGCCCGAATTCTCTCACAGCACGCGTCAGGGCCTCAGAAATCTGGACCGCCTCCACCTCCCCCGCCTGCAGCTGTATGTTCTTGGCCGTGTGCTCGGCCAACTCATCAGCTGCCTTATTCCCAACCCAAGCAAAGACAAGCTCCTTTTTCTCTGCAGCCTGCTCGGGAGTCATGTGCGACTCGATCTTGATGATAACGGTCGGCTTCTTTCGAAGAAGCCGCTGAATTCGACGCCACTCGTTCCTAAATCCAGCAGGGAAGAAATCCAAGAGGACCTTATTGACGTTTTTCTGGACGTACGACGAGTCCGTGACGAATACAAGCAGTCGGCCCACAGGGGCCTCCTCCAGGAACCTCAAGAGCGCTATCATCTCGCCGTGGTTGATAGTCTGGGGTCCCCATGTGGCTCCCGAGGAAACCCTTGGCGAGGCCAGGGACGGAGCTGGGTTTCCTAAATCGAACTCCTCGAAGACGACATAAGCCCAAGACACTCTCCTGAATCTGGCCTGATCCGAGTATTTACCCCCCGAGGCATCACCTGCACCGATGATCAGGTCAGTGCCGTCGGGAAAGAAGCCGTGGCTGTGCACAAGAATGTCCGCCTCGTCGGGCGGTAGCGAAACTTGTGTCCACGAAGAAGGAGTGAGGCCTCGAAGCCACACTGAAGGCTGTGAATCCACCTGGGTGCGAGCACGGTGCACATATGCCTCGATGCTGGTGGTCGAGGGCAAGGCGTCGTTCGCGGAACATTCCCATATTCGGTGGAAGGTAGACTCTGGTCGTCCACAATCACAGCGATCACAAACAACAGAAAAATCAGGCGGGTTGATGATGCTTTGAACTCTCTCTCTAGCCCACTGACCACCACAGCACGCGTTGACTAAAGCCCCTGCCCACTTCAGCTGGTCTTTATCTCTAGCTCGTCGTAGCTGCTGTCGTACATCAGTTAGGTCTACTCCGTTAGCAACATCTGCGCTCTCATAATGCTTTGCTGCTCGCTTCCAAAGAACCCGACGAACTGAATCGGCTAGGTCTTGACGGATACCATCTAGATCTAGTGGACCTGCTTCAAGGACCTCTGGAGTAGCCTGATAGACGTTCCCAAGATCAGAAACCCAATGCCAAGGTCCAATGGGGTCCCAGTTGATGTCCAAAAGGGTGTTCACTACAGCTCTGGTGGGGCCTGTGATTCTGCGCCAACGATGCTTAGGCATCTCTCTAGCCTTAGCCACGTGCTGCGACCAGTCCCGTGCTGCAAACGCTCGTGCTTCAGCTCCTGACGCAAGAATGGCCATCCAGCTGTCGAGCATCTTAAAAACCTGCGAGATTGCTGGATCTTGATCTCCAAGCTCCAGCTGCAAAAGAGTGTCGAGGCACCGGCCACGGACCGACATCGCGAACGTGCCTCCTATAGCTCTGCGCCAAGCCTGCACTGCAGAAGGGCTCATACCATACACAGCTGCATCATACTGTACCTTTGCATAACATCCACGATGTATCACGCGACGTGCTGCTGCTCTGCCTGTTCTGCCAGCTCCAATAAGCTTCCGAGCTCGGCCTACTTGCTTCCATGCTGCTTTGCGACGTGCTGCTGCTTTAGGTCGTGCTCGCATGTTCGTGCCTCTGTCGGTGCCTAGATCGACTGCTTTCTGTGCTACAGTGATCTTAATATTGTGCTGTGCCAACTTGCGCGCAATGTCCTTTGCTAAGCCAGGGTCCCCCGCGATGATCTTGCTCTTGCTTGCGATGCTCAAGTGCGCCTTGTTGCAGAGCCTGCCCAAGAGAACCCCAGCCTTGGTGAGCGCCTGGGAGAGGAACCTGACGGACCCGTACGCATACTGAGTGATATCATCTACCCAAGACGACGTATTGACCGACGGTGAGTACTTGTTGTACACAGCTTCAAGGATACTGTAGAGATAAAATCTTCCAAAATCGACCCCTCTACGAGCTCCTGCAATGATGGACTTGTTGGCCTGGACTGGTGGCGAATAGCACCCTGCTCCCCGAAAAACTCTAACTATAAGATGAGCCAGCCCTTCCATCAGCAACAGCAAAGGCGGAAAATCCAGGGCCAAGCCCTGCTCGAACAGGCGCTCGTACTCTAACGAGTCGTAGAAGCTGTCGATGTCCCACAGTAGGCTGGCCGAGACGGTGTGCTTGGGCCCCATGCTGACGGCTTCGTCAGTGAAGGCTCGTAAAAGTCCAACACGCAAGCAAGAAGAACCTCTGATCGCATTGTCCCACTTGCCAGCCATCTGCTCGACCCATTCAGAAGGAAAAATCTGTCTTGCTGAACTCCACAAGCGTATCAAATCTGGGATCAGACCAATTGAACGATCAGAGTCAGCGCCTTTCCTCAACAGAGCAACAATGGCAGTCTGAATCTGCCAAGGCCAGCCTCCTCGCCGTTCGCATTCATTCAAAAACCCAGTCAAGTGAGCAATGCCAGCTGGAGGTAAATACTTGAGGGTACCGCCCAACTGCTCGATGCCTGCCGCCTTGCTGGAGTTAATCTGCGTGACGGTGATGGCGATCTGCTCAGGCTCCAGAGCTGGCCAAGGTTGCGCTGCTGCCTTAGCGTGAGCCCGTCGAAGGAGTTGAAAAAGCTTTTGCACTGACAAAATTTTGGATGCCCACTTGCGTTGCCAAAGCTGACTCTTCTGGACCAAAATCTCCTTGAGGCTCGTGGAACTTCCTTTCAGGTCGCGGTACTCTGTCTCAACGCGCGTCTTGGGCTTCACGTGCCGATGCAACTTCCCACAGCCTTGCGCAAAAGAATCTCGAATCCAAGATTGAAAAGCGCTGTGACTCTCCTTGGCCGCCTTACGCTCCAGAGCTGCAGCGACCTTACCCGCTGATGCGCCCATCATGATGAGAGCTGCTCTTGGTAGATTGTGAATGTTAAGAAGTGTACTGGCCCAGTCCTGCCGATCTCTACCTACCACCTGGCCGAAACCTGAAAGTGGCATGTCTGCAGGAGCCTGTGCCAACCTATGCACCAAGAAGTCTGTTCTCGATGCTTTCCTGACTTTTTTTTTTTTTTTTTTTTTTTTTTTTTCCGAAACTGGGTTAAGCAAAACGAGGGGAGGAGGGGAGGAGTCGCCACCTGCTGCAGTAGAGAAATCCTCGACGTGCTGCTCGGTCCCACTGGCAGAGACTCGAATAAGCTCCTGAATCCAACCAGAAACCTGCAGCCACCACTTGATTGACATATCTGAATGCGCTCTTGTTGGTGCGGGCGTCGAAATCGGCAAAGTTTTGAATTCCCTCGCAGCTCCACGACCTTTGTAATGCCAAGCTCGATCTTGTGGTACCTCAAGTACACGACACAGAAAATTCTCAAAAACTGACGTAAATCTTCCGTAGTCTGATCCCAGCTCGATGGCAGTCTCGGGATCGTACTTATACGAGAGGCTGTCTTGTATCCAATCTGGCGGTAGGGTCCACTCACGGTGCTGGAGAGTGTTGTTGTCAATGGTGGTCCAAAGCTTATCCAGATCTTCAACCGTCCATTCTAAGTACTTGGCTGGGTGGCAGTCCTGCGCTTCAGGCTTGACCTCGGAAACCTTATGGTCATAAATATGCGACTGCCACATCTGCTGAAGCGCCTCGGAGTCGAAGCCGAAAAAATCTCGATGCAAAAACTTGCGCGCCTCCTCTGGGTATTTCGTGCAGGTGCTGGCCTGCTGAGGTTGCGCCAAGAGCTCCTCGTCTTCAAGCTCGGGTTCAGGAGGTTCTTGATCAAGATCCTCCGGGTGGTCCAGAGCTCGCTGCTGCCGTCGCTGCTCCAGCTCCAGCTTCTTCCTCGACCGTTTGCTGTTGGGGTCAGCCTTTAGCTTGGTGGGCAGCGGCGGCAAGAACATCTTCGGTAAGTCCAAGACTCGACGCGCAGACTGTTGTGCCGAAACATTCAACTCCAAGATCATGCCGTAGTGGTCACCACCCTCAGCATCCAGCTGAATCGCATCATGGAAAAGTGCAGAAAAATCCTGAGAGGCCACAGCATAGTCGATAATTCGCTGCCCCTTGCCCCTCGTGGACGTGTGGGTGATGCCAGGAGGGTGGTAAAAATGTCCATTCCACTTACGAATCCAAGTGGCCATCTCCAGGGGAGTAGCGTTGAAATCCCCCATGATGGTCCAAGGCCCAGCATGATTGTCCAACAGCGCCGATATGGTGAGAAGCTTTGCGACATTGATGGGTGCTTCCAGCCCCACTGAGACAGTCAAATAAGCGCCTATCACCAGCAGCGGGACTCTGGCGATCTTCCACTCGACCGCCACCACATCCTTGAAGGACAAGGGCCCCGATAGCTTCTGCTTGCTGCTGACGTCAACTAAGCCGATCGCGTTGTCAGGGTCGTCCGACAAGTGGCGATGAGAAGACCAACAGAGATGCTGACGGATACCCAGACCAATGCCACCTGCCTTCTTCACGTAGGTCGTGGGGTATGCTGGAGAAACAATACCTTGCCATTTGTGCTGCTTCAGCGTGCCCAAAATATCCTGAGTGTCGCATGTTAACACGTGCGTCTCGGGCATGATGATGATATCAACATCACTCTCTGCAAAAAGCTTGGTGGCCTTGTGCCCCCACATGGAAAGATTATGCAGTAGCAATCGCCGAACTTCAGGTGCCGCATTTTGAGATTGTCTCGGCTTCGGGTACAGACGGATCGCGCTACCCGCATTTTTGTGGAGCCACAGCAGCGTCAGCGAAGGTCGCCGACGAGGGCGGGTTGCCCCTGGCGGCTGCCAGAAGCCGCTGCACTGACTCCTGGGACGCCTTCGCCTTCGGGGGAGCCTCACCTGCCGCCGCCTCCTGGGGCTGCGAGGGAGGCGCTGCTGCAGCAGCGGCGGCAGGGGCTGCTGCCGAGGCCGCGGCGCGCTGCCCAGCAGAAGGCGCTGCCTGACCGTCGCCTGCGGCAGGGGCAGCAGGCTGGTCTCCACCTGCAGGCTGCTCCTCAACACGGTCCTTACCTTCAGCAGCTGCCTCGCCTTGAGCTCCCACGCGTCGACGCTTGGAGGCCATGCGAGCCTTGAACTCCTTGAACTGCTGTCTGCGAGCGCCCAGCTGAGCAGCCGCTGGGCCAATCGCAGCGCTGATCGCCTGCTTGATCTCCTGTGCCAAAGAGATCTTGTGCTTCTGCCATGCCTCGATGTCCTCCTTGGCCAGGTCAAGATCGGCGAAGTCGAAAGCCTCGCCGTCCTCGAACTCGAACAATTGCCCGAGCTCGTCGCCCTCGTCGAGAAAGCTGGACAGGTTGAGCTTGGGCTTGGGGACGGCGGCAGCGGCAGCAGGTGCAGCACCTTCTCGACTCTTGAGGCGCTGGAGGTCCTGCTCCAACTGCTGCTCATGGGCCAGCCTGGCATCCGCTGCATCTTGCGCAGCCTGCTCCACAGCAGCCTGAGCCCGTGCCAGCCAGTCGGTGCGCTCCTGCTCGTGAGCGATCGCCTTCGCAAGGGACTCATCAGCCTTGCGCGCAGCCACTGCCAGCCGCTGTGCCTCTCGCTCGCGCTCAAGGCTGGGCTTGACTGGGGCGGCGGCAGCTGGCGGCGGAGCGACCTCGAACTCCCTCTTGAGCGCTGCCAGGCGCTCGCCATGCTGCGGGGCGCGGCGCAGCAGGGCCTCGAACAGCTGGTCGGTCGAAAGAGCGAAAGGGTTGGCACTGCCGTCGCCGAAGGTGGCTGCCGTGGCTGCCGCCACTGGTGGAGCCCACTGCCCAGGGGGCGGCCGTGCGAAGGGGCTTGGTGGGTGTCCTGGCTGCACTGGGCCAGGTAGCGCGGGCGGTCCACGGCTCCACGACCCTGCATCACGAGGTGGAGGCTGGCCACCGACAGGACGCAGAAGGCCTCCGCACTGCCAGCGCGCCGTGTGCCGCTTCCAATTCCACTTGTAGCGACAGCCGCCATGAGGACAAGACACAAAGCCACGTGCCGCCGCAGGCTTCCCCATGGCGTCAGGCGGGACGGGATGGAGGCAAGCGAACCCCTCAGCCGCTTCGGCCGAGGGACCTCCGTAAACTCAGTGATCTGCCGCGGACTAGCGATATCCGTTTTTGCCAATGCGGGCACAGCCCGCCAAAGCATCAGTCTTGAGCCAAAATGGCTACGGAGGAGGAGGAGGAGGAGGCGGAGGAGGAGGAGCAGCAGGAGGAGGAGCAAGAGCAGGAGCAGGAGCAGGCGGAGGCGGAGGAGGAGGAGGAGGAGGAGGAGGAGGAGGAGGAGGATACGATACGATACGCACACCCTTAGCGCCATGTTGTCTGGTAGTCCAGTGAGTACTGTACTCACACAGTGTCAAAATCGCGCAGCAGTGGGCCCTGAGAACATTCAAGACTGACTGGAGGCATCGTGGCGCGGTGAACCTTCCCTTTGGGGTGAGTGCCGATGCCGAAGCTCTACGCACCAGGGCCGCAGACAAGGCCCCGCACGGGGCCGTCCTGGCCCCTGCAGCCACCGACGCATGAGGTAGCCACAGGGGACTGTGGTGACTCTAGATTCAGGGTTGACCGCTTGCTTTCTTAGCAATGTCAAGAATGTTTCTACTGCTCGCGAAAACAGAAAACCTCTGAGACCCTGGGTCGATCCCTCGAGAGGCCAAATATTCAGTTACTATCTGCTTTTCAGTGCGAGGAGGAGGAGGGGGAGGCAGATGACTCACAGGAGTGGGCGGGGGCACAGGCGCGGGCCTACTAGAACTCGAAGCTGAGCTGGCCCCCGTTGGTCTCGATGGAGTATCTCGTACCAAATCGCATATATCGGGTATTTCCAAAATGATGTCCGAGCGGTCGTGAGAACCAGTCATCAAAATGCTCGACCATGCCGAGCTCAAACCAACCTCAGGTAAATTGAGAGCCGCTCGCACTTGATGATTCACTTCAGTAGGGCCTCCAGGAAGGTCTGGATCTCCCGCTCCATGAATGATGCTGGGGCTCTGCCGTACTTGCGTGTCGTCTGTGGCACTTGGGAGAAGCAGGCCAGGAGAATACTGCGGAACTTCGCGTCCCTGGTGGCGAAGGTGATCCTGCGACGTTCCTTCTGGAAGACCTTGTCCTGGCGGCAGAATAGAATTAGCTCGCACTTCTGCTCGACTGAGTACCCGTCGTACTCCTTCCATGCTGCCGCGAGGTCGGTGTGGTTCTGGGCTCCGAGGCTGTCTCCGTACGTCAGGAGTCCCTTGATGAGCCCGCCCATCGCATATATATGCGGAGGTCCGAGGGTGTGCTCTTTGCCATTTGACTTGGTCTCGGCGGCGTAGGCCGCGGTCTGTTCGCTCATCATCGTAATGAATGCGACCGTCATCGGGACGATGAGAAGTGTCGAAGATGACCCCTGACATGTCGCGGCACTGCTGGCTGAGCCTGAGGATCTGCTTCAGCATGAGTGCGAAGAGCTTCTTCTGCTTGTCGGGGATCTGCTCGGCGATCTGCTTGGACTCCTCTTTCGTGCCACCCTCGATGCGACCCTTCTTCCTCTCGTCGCGAAGGCCCTGGCCCCCGTCTCCGCCCGAGCCCGCCGCTGATCCAGTCAGTGCCGCCAGGGCGCCAAGCATGGTAAAATAGTGTCGGAAGAGGTCTAGGTAGATGCTCGTCTTGCAGGTGGCGAAAGTAGTCGATGCTCGATGGAAACACTACGGAACTCGGGCATAGAGGACAGTTCCATTCGTCTTTCTGCTCGGGTTCCCAAGACATGTGAGCTCTTCCCATTAGACATCGGCCATATCCATAAGAATGTTTCAGATGTTTGCGAGCATTGTATACATCTCTGAATATACTCATACAATTTGGGCACTGGTTCGTAATGGCTCCACTATGAAGTATCTATTTCATCTTATGTCCATTTGTTTGGTGTCCCATGAGAGCCCTGTAGGTGTCGAACTGGAGGCCGCATGGGTTTCCCTCGGGGTCCGTGATCATGCATGTGTATACGTGTTCGCTTTTGGCTTCGGGGTTATGTGCTTCGGGGAATAGAGTACACCATTTGTCGTAATCCGCGAACGCTGCTGCTCTCAAGATCGAGGGGTCAATATTCAGAAACCCCTGGAACGAGTCAGAGTTGGGGTCGAATAGGGCCTTCCACGAAAACCCAGCCGCCTCCCAAGCCTCGAAGAAACTCTCGGTCCCACTGATCCCCTCGTAAAGGTACAGGCTGCGATGAAACTCTTTTGCCCAGGGATTCGCGTCGATGCTGAGCTGTCCGTCTGGCAACAGCGTCGGTCTCTCCTTCTGTAAATGACCGAAGATCGCCGCAATCGTTTGGCTGTGGGCGTGACGGTGGGTGAGCATGCCTTGAAGCCACCGAATCCTGCGCGCCGCCAGTTCCCCCCGAGCAGGGAGGATGTGAAATCTGTAGAGCACCTCTGAATTACGAAGTGTGCGAACGTGTGGCCCATCGTAGGAAGTGGCAGCACCCCGCAATAGAACTCTGAGGTATCTTACAGTACCGGAATCTATATTCTGATACTCTGCTGGCTTAAGGACAAATGCTTCAAGACCCGTGACGCCACTTTCCACGACTTTGCCAAGAAAGAGCTCGCGCTTAAGTCGATGGAAACCACGCTCGTGCCAAAATAGACCTATGACAGACCAGCCCGCGTGCATAGAGCGGATTCTGCACTGTACCTCTGGAGCATTAGAGCCATTCATATGATGTCGAGCTCCCAGATGCCTAGCGTGACTGCGAACAGTGCCACGCGACTCAGGGCAAATCTCCTGAAGGCGACGGTTTTCTCTTGTGGATCCCAGGCAGGGTAGGGTATGATGTCTTGCTTTTGCATATTCTGCTGAAAGCGCCATTTCCCCAGGACCTGGTTCATCTTCGAGTCGCCTTCTCGGATTGCCTCTAGAGCCTCAGACGCCGAGGGATCTTCTAGAATGCGTCGCCGAAATAAACCATCTGCAAAACCTACCATTGAACAGTCTAAAGCCGAGTTGCCAAAAACTCCTGAAAGATATATGGGGCTCCCGTCGAGCTCGAGGATTTCGTCATAGCACTGGTCGAAGACGCCGACGAATTGTCGAGGTGCCTCACATGACCCTTGGAGCCCCCCATTCTTAGTGATAAATGCTTCGGGCTTGTTATCTACTTCAATTAAAACCACACTGTTGATCAGGCGCTGCTTCGCGAAGTCCTGTAGGTCCTCGCGCACCATTACTTCGGAGGTATGGGTTAAAAGATCCTCCGTGGATGGACATAAGAAAGCGTTCGTCATGTCGTGAAGCTCGCATACATGGGGGATCCTGGCTTTTCGCAGAGACCAGCCTAGTCGTAGTTGCACTAGTATGGCCCCCTCCCTCCTCCGATACTTCAGAAATCCATGCCATCGTCCCGAAAACGATTTGTCGTATGCCTCATCTTTATCCCCCCAGCTGTATAGTACTGAATACCAATATTTCCAAAACACATCTGATAAATGTACTATCCTCTGGCTAAACATGTCAAGCTTGTCGTTGGACTTGTCAAGCAGGATCCCCTCAGTGATGCTAGACTTGGTGGGGAGCTGCCCCACCTCGAAGGACCGAATCAGAATATTTTCAAACTCCAGGCGTGCTCTCGTCATCTCAGCTGTTGTGGCCAAGATGTGCTCACGTCCGTCAGGGGCTCGTTGATCTTCTGAGGCTTCCCGTCCTGAGTAGAGCGTAGTTGGCTGCCCTGTCCGAGGTTCAGGAGGAGGAGGAGGCTCGGCTGGTGCTTCCGATTCCGCAGCATGTGTGTCGTAATCGAGGTTGTCGATCTCTGCGAATGGGTCAGCGTCATCCTCGTCGGCGGTGGTCCAACGTAGAGGTAGCCTGTCAGCCTCCGAGTTGGGGGCCTGGTCCTGATGTTGTTTGTCCTGGGCCTGGGGTAACCAGCTGGGGGTCGTGGCGACAGTCGGCGGCGAAGCCTGCCCTTGATGGCCCAATCCTTGTCGCTCATCTGGTGCGTCGTGATGGACAGAGGTGACGCCGTACCCCAGGCCGAACTTGGAATATCGCTGCTTCGAAAGATGTCCAGGTGCAAGTACTATTAATGCCAGTTCCGATGGTACACTCCACTTCGGCCCACAGCGTCGGCCACGGGCTCGTCTTAACTTCCAAATCATTTGTCGGATCATGACAGAGGCGGTGATCTCCATGCTAGCGTTGCGACGCTTGATGATGGGTGGTTCCTCCGAGAGGAAGTCGCGAAGCATGATATTCAAGTCGGGAATATGTGTCGCTTCCATGCCCCCATCGGATCCGTGTCGTGCGAGATGTCCTTTCAGTTCTTCCAGCGACGGCTTATAAGAAGAAATATTATTATAACGTCGGTTCTTCACACCTGTTGATCGTCCAGAGAGTAGGCGTGCAAGCTTGCGTACTTCAGCCTGCTGGCCCAAAGCTCGTGCCTCGCGCAGTTCTTGATGTAGGCGTTCGCGGTGTGCCGCTCGACGCCGTCGAGCCCAACGTCGGAGTTGGCATGAGATGCGCTTGATCTTAGCCAAAACGCCAAGGTACTCATCCGTAAAATCAGGAAGGTGTCCATATGCATTCCAGTGCTCTGCTGCCTCGAATCTGTAAATCTTGCGTTGTTTAACCAGGGATACACGTTCTTGTTGAAGCCGATGTTCCGCTGTGTCGGTAGATCTATCCTCCAGTGCGACATGTTGAAGTCCGATCTGCTGTACAATCTCCGCCCACTTGTCGTAGAAGTCATCCGTGTGCTGATGGTTCGTGGTGCACTCATTGAAATAGTCTGCTTGTGCCAGCATAGCTGTCTCCAACTCATGATGAAAATCCTCTCTCCCGATGCCCGTCTGAAGTGCTGTGGAAAGCTTCTGAAAATCCCATCGTGCTTTCGGTGCCAGAGGTGTCGGGATGGGGAGCTCATATTGCATTTCCAAGACGACAGGGGCGTGGTCGCGGGGGGCGCTCTTGGGGATCAGCTGGAGACTTCGACCTGCTTGCCATGCGACATTACAGTGGCGAATCCCTGGCCCAAGACCTTTAGGAATGGCGAAGATGTCCAACGTTGATGTGTCCCCCTGGGCCCCGAAGTACGTGGGTCCTGCTTTTGGCCAGAAGGTCCCTGGTGACATCATTCCGAGATCGAGGAGCATATTCGAAAACAATTCGCCTGCGGGTCCATTTGGTCGAAGGTGATGGGGCCCTAGGAGGTCCTGGTCGAGATCCACGGGGGTGCCGTCCTCCCAGAGCCCAAATCCAGAATTTATATCCAGACCACATATAAGCGTACTTCTCGCTCGGGTTAGTTCTAGTCTGTGTCGAACATGTTTCATAACTGTCGTGGCCGCCTGGATCTGCGCTCGTCTTTTTTTGTCCACTCGCATAAATAGGTGGGGGGTATGCACATATAGCCGTTAAATCGATATGTCCGCTCTTAATTCTGATTTCTCCATATCTGCCTGCAATACTTCGAGGTCCTGCCTGTACTGCATACAGATGTTGTCGCTTCAATCGTCGTCCAAGTACTATGCATACCCCCGCACTGTTGTTACTGAAAGGAGCCCTCTGCCAGCCGAAGTGGATCGCTGTAAACTTGTTACCAATATCTTCCGTGTGAAAATCACGGCCTGTCCATTCCCTCACCCTTGTCCCTGGCAGCATGATTAGGTCGCAGTTCAGGGTTTCCGCGATCTCCCGCAGGCGGCCTGCGGGTACAAGGGAGAGGGGGTTGTAGAGGGCGACGCGCAGGAGGCCCACCATCAGCCCCCTGTATAGGCTCGCCAGATGCATCGGAGGCCGAGCCAGGCTGGTATAAGGTGAGTGAACGCTAAATATCTCTGGGAGCTAGGGGGTCGCTGCCGCTGCTGAATGTGGGTTTGGGAGGAGATGGCAGCTGGAGGAGGAGGAGGAGGAGGAGGAGGAGGAGGAGGGAGGAGGAGGAGGAGGAGGAGGAGGAGGAGGAGGAGGAGGAGGAGGGAGGAGGAGGAGGAGGAGGAGGAGGAGCAGGAGGAGGAGGAGGGAGGAGGAGCAGGAGGAGGAGAGGGGAAACATCGACCTGGAATCGGCGATACCCCGCCGACAGATCGGCGAGGGGCTCTCGATAGCGCAACCGCATGGTCCTGGGCGAGGTGGGCCATCGGTCCCCGATCGGCGATGCTCGGGCGATTGGGGGTCGATGTGTCCCCCCCTGAGCCTGTCTCCCCCTACAGCGGAGGCCAGTGCACACGAAACCCTCCACAAGAAACCCAACCCTGAGACCCCAGAACGTCCATCGATCTTTGGCGTGGGAGCGTCGCGCTGTCCATAGCAGAACCATCGACACCCATGACATCCAAGGCACCCTGGAGGCAAGCAGGGTGCTTCTTTTGCATGGGTCTCCATCCGCTGTTGGGGGGACCGGCTCAGGGGGAAACGTCGACCTGGAATCGGCGATACCTCGCCGACAGATCGGCGAGGGGCTCTCGATAGCACAACCGCATGGTCCTGGGCGAGGTGGGCCATCGGTCCCCGATCGGCGATGCCTGGGCGAGTGGGGGTCGATGTGCCCGCCCCTGAGCCTACAGCGGAGGCCAGTGCGCAAGAAACCTTCCACAAGAAACCCAACCCTGAGACCCCAGAACGTTCATCGATCTTTGGCGTGGGCACGTCATGCTGCCCATAGCAGAACCATCGAAACCCAAGAAACCCAGGGCACCCTGCAGGCAAGCAGGGTGCTTCTTTTGCATGGATCTCCATTGCATCCCCACTCAATTAACGTTGCCCCGGGCCGATGTCTCCTCTCCACGGTGGCTTTCGAGCCACAGCTCGGGACTCTGGCGGCCACCCTGGGCGATCCCAGCAACCCCCGAGCGCTCCCGACGGGCGCGGCTGATGGAAGCCACCTCCAGCCTCGAAAACCTGTGAACACCTTCCGAAACCTGGCGAAAGCTCCCCTGGCCTTGTAGTGGGCCCCGTAAACGGCAAAGCGCTCTTGAACATGGAAGCGACAAATAACCGGCGACCGGAAACGGCAAAAAACGGCTCCGGCATTGGAACTGGAGGCGCAACCGGAAAGGAGACGGCGAAGGAACCGGTAACAAAAACGGCGGTGCCGTTGCCAGGCTGAGGGCCCACGAAGCCCCTGGTTCCCCGCGCGCGTCCCATGACTGCTGTCCACGTCTTTTTCTGAAGAGAAGGGGGAAACCAAAAGGGAATGACCGCGACGATGCAAAACAACTTGCGCGCGGCACGGGATGTTTGCCCGGGAAAGATTACACCACGCAGGGTGCGACAATCCGGACACTGATGCAACGGCAGGAGTCCACGCAACGAAAATGCCACGAATGACGGCCGGCAGGTGCAGAATGGGAGGAAGAGGAAGACGTCGTCGCCGACGTCACCGCTGACGCCGCTGTCGGACCCGCCGCCCCTGTCCGCCGCCGGAGCCTCTCGGTGCGGGGCGCGTGCCGCGGACGCGCGCGGGCCCGCGAAGGCCGCCGCGCTGGGCGCGGCCGCCTGCGGCGCGCGCGCGAGCCGGCGGCGGAAGCGCAGGCCGGCTTCGGCTGGCGGCGCGCACGAGGGGGGGGCATAATAGGGGGGGAGGGGGGAAAGCTTCTCAGGAGGAGGCTGCCTCTTAGAAGGCGCCGGCCCTACATCTAGAGAGAAGGCCCGCGCCTGCAAAGGAGCAGGGGTGCTTCTCAAAAGCCTTAGACACGATATGAATACTACTCTCCTCTCTCCCGTGCTGGCGTCCGGGGAATGTCTGACCCCCCTCCGCGTACTGGCTTTTGTACTCGCAAATTTCAAGGGAATTGGGTTTTCGTTCGTTTTTTGTTTCAAGATGCTGCTCTCACTAAAGCGCTCGGGCTACCTACTGCTCATTCCGAATCGTGCTCCCGCTGCAACACTGGCCTCATTTCCGCGCTTCCGCTCGTCCCGAATCGTGCTCCCGCTGCAGCGCTGGCGGCATTACTTCCAGCGCCATGCCACGGCATGGTTTTCGGTCCTTCCAAATAGGCCCCAAAATTTAGAAAATGGCTCCCCCAAACAACCATCGGAAGTGATTACACATTCGGTGACGATTCGCTGATGCTTTAGGCCGCAGAAGCCCCCCTCCACTTTTGGGGCGTCGCCACATCATGTTATGTCATGCTACGCGTTGATCTTCAACACCATGCTATGCCATGTAATGCTATGCCATGTTGCGACATCCGATTGCGCGAATAGAGAAGAGATCTACGCCATGGCAAGGGATGGAAGGGAGGGGTAGGACGCCAGATGTGACGCGAGCGCACCTAGGTTGCCCTGCCCCCCTCTGCGCGTGACCGATTCGGGGCCGACCGAAGGCGGCCGACACCGACGACGAGGACGGCAGCGGCGGCGGCGGCGACGACGAGGGCGCCGCCAACGCCAGCGAGCGGCGGGTAGCTGCCCTCGTGGCCCTCGCGGGCCGAGTACCCACAGCCAGCGCTTGGCCACCAGGAGCCTCAGACAACGCAGGGTGGTTGTCACGAGCACAGAACACGGTGGATTGCTTTGAACAGCGCGAGTTTTTGGCTGCTGGGGGCGATTGTGAAGAGGGCGGTCAAAGGATCTCAACGACGACGACGACGACGACGACGGCGACGCTACCGAGCATGTGTGAATCATCGCCCAACGCGCTGCTGCGTGACCCCACCCCGGCATCGTCATCCTATACTCAAGAAAGAAGCCCCGTCGGGGTAAGAGTGGGCGTCTTGGGGGAAGACTCAGCGGACGGACCCAATAAGCATCGAGCTCCTCTCGAAAAGCGAAACGCACCTGACCACAGTGCTTTGACCGTAATTGAAGTCATCGTGTTACAGTCGGGAACGCTGAACAGGAACGAAGCGTGGTTTTTGGCAGTGGTGAGCCTCGGCTTCGAATAGGTTCCCCGACCCAGGTCTACGGAACGGCCCGAAGAACACCAGAGCAGATTCTGAGCCCGAAGTGGTCATGAGTTTAACGTCCCGACTGTAGGTCGCCAAGCGCTGCGCATCGAGCCGCGCGATGCGTGTGCTTATCTCCTCGCGCTCCCAGGCGCCCCCTGAGGAAAGGGGCACTCTTTCGGCCAAGGCCGCGACGCGCGAAGCGCGATCATCGGGCGAAGGCAAAGAAGACTCAAGACGTTTCTGCGAGGCGGACTTTTATCCATATGCGCCGCCTGGGAACCAATGTCCTGGGACACCGGGGTGCGGTGGGTAATAATGGATGATATCCGGCCTGACTGGGGCCAAAACATATCCGCACTCACCGGCTCCCAAGGTCCAGGAAGATCTGACTCCCAGGCGGAGGAGGAGGAGGAGGAGGAGGAGGAGGAGGCGGAGGAGGAGGAGCAGGAGGAGGAGGAGGAGGAGGAGGAGGAGGCGGCCGAGGAGGCGGAGGAGGAGGAGGAGGCGGAGAAGCAGAAGGCGGAGGCGGAGGAGGAGGAGGAGGAGGAGGAGGAGGAGGAGGAGGAGGAGGCTTAGGAGGCAGATGAGGAGCAGCAGGAGGAGGCGAAGGAGGAGGAGGAGGAGGAGGCGGAAGAGGAGGAGGAGGAGGCGGAGCAGGAGATGGGGGACCTCCGCATCCTCCCTTCTTCACCGTCCTACCTATCTTAGTGGTGGTGGAACATTGGCCCATCACTCCTCCCCGTAGGGTATGTCTAAATCGCAGCCTCGGTTTCTGACACCCCTTCAGCCTCGGCGGGGGGGGCTCCAGGGGTCTTCTGGGGCTCCGGGGGCCTCTGAGGATCTCCGCAGGCCGTCTGGGGGGTCGTTGTCGTCGTCGTCGGCGTCGTCGTCGGCGTCGGCGTCGTCGGCGTCGAAGCCGACGCCGATGACCTCCATCTTCGATCCTCGTCGCCCTCGGGGATCGAGGCGCGAGCGAGGCTTTGAGATGCTTCTGGTATATTCTGGCACTCCGTGGATACTAGTACCTCCGAGAGCCTCTGGAGGCCGTCGGGGGTCGTCGACGGCGGCATCGGCATTGTCATGAGCGTCGTCGTCGTAGTCGTTGTCGTCGTCGCCGGGGGCAGCGGCGGCGGCAGCGGCGTCGTCGTCGACGCCGGCTTCGGCGTCGTCGTCTTCGCAGGCTTCGGCGTCGGCGTCGGCGTCGTCGTCGTCCGCAGGGAGGGGAAGAGGCTGGCTTGAGAGGGGGACCCCATGGTGTCATGTGCAGTCACAAAAAGGGAGCCGCGTACATTTAGAGGAGGAGGAGGAGGAGGAGGAGGATGAGAAGGAGGAGGAAGGATTAAGATGAGGAGGATGCGGAAGAAGGACGACAAGGAGGAACAGCAGTAGCAGATGCAGGACTGCGGAATCGGGGGGAGCTGGACGACCAGGGGAAGGCGGGGAGGGGAAATGAATGGGGCGACACTGGTGATGAAGCACTCGGATTTAGCAAAGTGACCCGCGCTGGGGCCATAGCGCCACTCCGAACGATGGGAGCAGCGTGCTGATCCCAAAATGAAGCCAACGCTGCAACGGGACCATCATTTTGAGACACCAAAATCGCTCCGATGGAACCGATCCACAGGAAAAACAACACAACGACATCTGGTGTCAAAAACAATATGCGGAGGAGGCGGGCTACTCCCAGGCCATATTCGCCAGATTGCGGAGAGTAGCATGTATATTTGGTAATTAACTGTTCATAAGGGACGAAGGGAGCGCGGGACGGGACAAACGAGGGAAGGACGGGAAGGGGACCAGACATCCTGCTGCCAGTTTTTGTTCGCGACGTGGGCTGCTCCCCCTACACCTCCCGACCCCTCCCTCCAAAGCCAGACTTTCCTCATCCTGCATCGTTGGTCGGTGGTGCCGAGGCCGAGATCGGCCTCTGGAGGCTCTAGCATGGCACAAATCCAGCCGTCTCGATTCTGGCAAGCTGTCGGGTATTCTGGGGGATAGAGAGGGGGGAACTCTTGGAGAGACGGGGGCGCAAAACGGACGAGGGGGCCCCTGAGGGAACAACAAGATTGAAGGGGCCCTGGGACACACAAATTCGCCGGCCCAACGGGCCAGGGCGTGCTAAGATCTCCGGTAACTGGTTAACAGTATTAACAGTATTTCTAGTTCGCGCGCGCGGGGCGGCCCCTGGGGGTCCCCCGGCGAAAAGTACCCCGACCAACGCCCGGTCGCCGCCCGACCGCCGCCCGACCAAGTCTACTCAGAGATGGTTTTCCTTCTGGGTGCGGCCTCTCAGGCTCCCCAGAGCGCGCTCAGAGTGCCCCAAGAGGCCCCCAAGACTGCCCAAGAGGCCCCCGAGACGCCCAAAGAGCGCTCGAAGACGCCGAAGATGACCCCAAGACGGCCCAAAAGGCCCCCAAGACAGCCCAAGAGGCCTCCAAGACGCCCCAAGAGCCTTCCAAGAGGCCTCCGAAGAGAGCCCCAAGAGGCCAAAATCGTTGATTTTCATTTGTTTTTTCGATGTTTTTTGTGTTCTGGCTTTTTCGGCTTCCGGACGCTCCAAGACGGCCCAAGAGGCCCCCAAGACCGCTCCAAGACGGCCCACGAAGCTCCCAAGACGGCGCCGAAACGACCCAAGAGAGCCCTCAAGACGGCCCAAGTGCCGCCCAAGACGGACCAAGAGGCCCCAAGACGGGCCCAAGAGGGACTCAGGAGGGATACCGAGAACTCAAAAATGGAGCCCTCCGTCCCAGAAGGCGCCCAGGAGGTCCCAAAGAGGCCCCAAGAGGCCTCCAAGAGGCCCCAAGATGTCGCCAAGAGGCCCCAGGAGACTCCCAGGAGGCCCAAAAGAAGCCCCAGAAGGCTTCAAACATGTCTCCCAGGCGCCCCCGAACGGCCTCTCAACAGACCCCAAGAGGCCCCCCAAAGAAGCATCTTGACGACGACTCTATTTCGCCCCATCGAGAGACGACCCCCAGGGAACTGCTTCACCATCAAAACTCCCCACGCAACGCGTCCGAACGACACCCGCCCCCAAGAGCGCAACATGGGCAACGAACACACAGACAAAAACCAGCGATGCCATATCACGGGCCGGCGGAATGAGCGAAGCGATTCAATAAATACACACAAATAAAAAGATTCCCCATATTTTCCATATTTTCTGGGTTTCTGTCTTCCCCCGAACTTCCAATATTTTTCCATAGTTTCCGGGGAGTGGACGATTAATTGTGTCTGTGTGTTTCCTTCCCTCCTGAAGGATACCGATACCGCTGCTCCCTGGACCTCTCCCCAGGGTGCGTCCTGACCAAGGCCCCAAGGCAGATCCGGCCGTGGCGACGTGGGACGCGTAGCAGTCTTGGTGTCTTTTGCTCCGCCTCCAGATCCGAGGAAGACCAACGGAGACAACGGCCAGCTCTCTCGCCCAGCACGAATCCGCTCTCAGAATCTGTCGCCAGACCTCTTCTGGGGCACGTCCTGACTCGGTCTTCGACGCGGACGCAGCCGTGGCGACCGCTTAAGCTGGTCCAGGAGGCCCACACAGCACGAGAACCGCCCAGGCGCGCCGCCGCTGTCTTCTCGCCTGGCTCTCCCCCGCTCCTCGGAGCCTCCAGCTTGGCACGGAGCAAAGGGGCCCCCACGAAAACGGGTCCCTT